AATTGCGTATACTTGATTTAATCAAGCTTTATAATTGCGTATACTTGATTTAGTCAAGCTTTATAATTGCGTATACTTGATTTAGTAAAGCTTTATAACTTTATAACTTCAACTTTTTTTCAGGAAGTTAAAGTTTATAAATGTTGTCTTGAATGAGTTTTTTTTTATTTATTTGAGAAATAACCTGAAAGTTTTCTGACCTAAGGGATTTCTGATCTAAGGATTTTCCGACCAAAAAATGTATTTTGTCATTAACGATCATCCAATATAAAAAGACATACTTTTGTTACAGAAAAGACTAACTTATTTAAAAAGGATTCGTTTTTTCTTCGTCGTTTTTAGAGCGAAATGATCGTTTTTTTAAAAACTGAAGACGATCCAGTTCCCTTTTTAAGAAACAAGTTTCAAATATTTTAAAAATATTTGTTAAAATAATTATCTCACCATCTTTGAAAACACTAAGAAGATATAAATCTTATAAATAAAGAATTCAAAACAAAATTCCCAAATTGGGCTACTTTACTTTTTAGAAAGTTAGTCTCAAATTTTGTTATTAAATTATATTGATTTTCATTAGAAATATTCTCTTCTTAATTTAGATTAAAAATTAAAAAAAAAACTTTTAAAAAATCAGAATTTTGAAAAAATTTTACAAGGTGCAGGAATCAAATTCTGATTTGTTTATCCCCTCAAAACAAACTGGTTTCTCCAAACTCCGCAGTCATAACATCCAGATTTTTCCTGAGTCGAGCCTGGGGAAAGGGAGTGAATACTCGCAACAAGCTCTAATCTTCTAATCCCGATATCTTTGCAGTCTGATTTCAAATTTCAAATTACGAATCTGCTAGATCTAATTCTCGAAGCTTGAGATATCAAAGTCTTACATCATCAGGTTCAAAAACCGGTATTTTAAAAATATAATTTTTTCCTAACCTACGGTGAATTCATTGTTATTTCTTATATACATTTATACATTTCTTATATACGTAGGTATGAATGAAAACACATATATTAGCAATAAGCACGCGCATAAAGAGAATATAATGCCGTGTGCTCTAATCTGATGGAATATATGTGCGCGACGCGCGTGGATTAGTGATCTAAGTGCTCACCTTCTTTCAGCTTTAAATCCGTGTCAACGCGCTTTAAAACTAGATCTGAGTCATGTTTCGAGGAACCTGGGAGAATGGGACCGGGGGTAACACCGCCATTTTTAGGACTTTTTCGAGGATTTCTATTGGGAGTATTGTGTATTTCTGGTTTAATTTCAACCCTTTTTTTATTTTTTTGTATTTTATTTTAGATTTTATGTTTTAACTATTTTTAAATCGTGGATGACAAAAACACACAACGTCTAGATGCTATCAATCTATAATGATTGTATTTAATGGTTACAATTCAACTTTTAAATCATCTACATTTCTTCACAATGTTCTAAATCGCTTTCATCGTAAGAATTTGAATTAGGCCGCTAAACTATCTATCCCCGACTCCATCTAGGACAGCTCATTTATTAATGAGTAAAAATCTTCGTCTTATTATTCTCCTGTTTATTTGGACACCCTGTAGTTTATATAGAGGGGGGGGGTTTAAGGTTTGGAGGGTTGCATTGATATACTGTATTGGAGGGGGTGGGAGGTAATATGATGAAGATATATTATCTAAGTTGAAAGGAGAGGATATTGATGTATATATTTATACTGTATATAAATCCAACATCTTCTGTTGTAGTTGAATTATGATGTTTACTTTCTTGAATGGAGAAATATCGAATAGATTTAGTGAAGGGGGGGAGGGTAGGTCGAGAGGGGCGGTGGGGTGGTAAGTCGAGGATGGGGGTGGAGTCAATGAATTATAGAACTTAAAAAAAATTTAGAAAAAATTTTAAAAATTAGGATTTTGTCTCATCCTTTTTTTTGTAGAAAAAAACTGATTGATTCTTACCACAGGTCACAACTTTTGAATTAAATAAAGTTTAGATTCAATATTCATCGTAACAACTTTTAAATGAGATTTAACATGCAAAATCTGGGAAAGTTATCCATTGGGAGTAAGAGAACATGGATAAGCAGTATAGTTTGGTAATATGGCTATCTAGTACCTAGTATAGTTTGGGAAATTAATAAAAAGTATAGTTTGGGAATACGGATAACAAGTACAGTTTGGGAGTATGGATAAGATTTATAGTTTGGGAATATGGATAAAGAGTATAGTTTGGGAGTATGGATAAGAAGTATAGTTTTGGAGTATGGATAAGAATTATAGTTTCGGAGAACGGATAAGAATTACAGTTTGGGAGTATGGATAAGAATTATAGTTTGGGAGTATGGAGAAGAATTATAGTTTTTAAGCATGATAAAGAACTGCAGACTTGGGAAACCGAAATTTGTTTTTTACGTCTAACCCTTTGTTCTGTATATTATTCTCAATGAAAATTTTAAATAATGCTTTACCTCATTTACGAAACTGGGTTTCTGAATTGATCCTACGTCTTAAGTTTTAGACTCTGGAATGAATTGTAATGTTCCATTGTGTACAGTGTACAACCCTTTTATATGGTTATGGTATGTTATGATATAGGATTACATATGTGCTTTAGAATTAATATTTTAATTCAAAATCTTCCAATATTACAGTATTAGAGAATTCCAATAGAATATTTAAACAATAGATGTGTATCGATGAAAAGATAAAAGGACAGATAGATAACTGGTTAGATGGTTAGATGGTTAGATTATTAGATGGTCAGATGGTTAGATGGTTAGATGGTTAGATGGTTAGATGTTTAGATGGTTAGATGGTCAGATGGTTAGATGGTTAGATGGTTAGATGGTTAGATGGTTAGATGGATATATGGATAGGTGGATAAATGGATAATTTAATAGATAAAAGGCTGAAAGAAATGTTAGTTAATATTTTTTTGTTGGTGTAACTTTTTCTTTGATTTTTCGTTGTTTTGTTAAATTATCCTCTTTAAGTATTTAAATTTAGCCTAATGCAGCTAGAGAAAACTTATAAATATATAGGGCCTCTTAATAGTTCATAATTTCTTGAACTTTTTAAAACCTAACAAAAAACCCGCATTCCAGTTTTACTTGTAGTCTATTGAAACACAAATTTAAAACTTCAATCGTAAACCATGTTTATAATACTTAGTACTTGAACCACACAGTTAATGAAACCATGTTTATAATACTTAGTATTTGGACCACACAGTTCCTGAAACCATGTTTATAATACTTAGTATTTGGACCACACAGTTCATGTTTATAATACTTAGTATTTGGACCACACAGTTCCTGAAACCATGTTTATAATACTTAGTATTTGGACCA